TACCATAGATATCTTATATACACTAGATAGTGCATCTAATTATTCTGCAATTCAAAAATTGAGGCCGTGATTGCAGTCTCAGGTCGTTCCCATGAAATGAGAAGATTCGTATGTTTTCTATTTCTTAAACAGGGAACTTAAACATTAAGTTAACCCTATTCCAAATACGTTTTAAACTATTCAAATGATGAAAGTTATTGTTGTTTTTAAGCGTTTATTAGCAAGTGGGAACGACCAACATGGCCGCCATCTATTCAAATGGGAGTAACCGCTGGAATATTCTTGGCTTCAATTTTACTAAGAGAGATGCGCTATCTAGTGTATATAAGATATCTATGGTAAACACTAAAACGTAAATGCAATTGTAATCCTCCGAGCAACAAGTGAAAAGTCGTTGCCCACCCGAACTTGCATATAAATAAACAAAATTTGGACACAATTCGCAAGTTTATGAACTACAATTTTCCAAGTTTGTGTTAAAATAAAGAATGTATGCAGTTTGGTAAAGACATTGCTAATTTCATTTCGCCGTCTTCAGTTATCGCTCGCAAAGCTAATGGACCTAACCTATTATTCTCAGAAACCCAATGGCCTCGTTTCCATGTTAACTTATTTTAGCGTGTCAGGGGCAGATAAAGATTATATTTCCTGGACGAATTTGTTTTTTCCTGTTCGCTTGGGCTCAATAACAAAGTAATTTTCAACCCTATACTAAGCACAAAACATGAGTAAGTATTTGACACGAAAACGAGGCCATCACGTAAAAAGTGAAAAAACGGTATAAGGTCTAAACTAGTAATTGTGAACAGTTAGATAATCATATCGAAAATATCGTCGTTTGTACAGTATGATGCGGCGATTAAATTGTGTTCTTATATTTCAGATGGATCTAAAATTGGTGGAAGTTGAAAAAAACAACCCCAAGTTATTGAGCAGTGAGTATTTCTATATTTTCAACAGTACTGTAATTCTGGTCTATAAACCGAAAGGGAATAGCATACATAGACAAATAGACTCGAGCTGTGCTTCCTGTGTATCTCAATTTATTCTTTTTATGTTGAATATATTTGCAGATAGGCAAGAATGCAGCAGTTATACATTGCTTGATAACCAAGATCGAAACATAAAGTATACCGGTGGCAGCTCAGATTTATGTGACGATGGTATTTCATCTGGATGGTACAGATTTGGTGGTGCTGCTGGAAGTCAGTTGTCTACTATTTGTGTTCCCAGAAAAGACACAAGCAAACGAAAATGCCATACTGATGCTGTTTCATGGTTGAATGGCGCTCATCCATCTGTGAGTGATGGAAAAGTCACACGTGAGGTGTGCTTCAGTTGGGACGGTAATTGTTGTCGGTGGAACAAAAATATCGAAGTGATCAACTGTGGATTATTTTATATCTACAAACTGGTCTCTTCACCTGTTTGCAGTGGTCGATACTGCGGAACTGACGTGTGCATTCTAAGTTAACTGATGGGAAGAAGAACTTATCAGGTGATCAGAAGTAAACTTAAGTCTCGAATTTCTTTTCAAAATTAAATGTAATGTGCGGTGATTTTTGTGAAGGAAGTAGTCTGTGTAAAATGTTATGTTGTCAGCCTTACAATTTTTATTTTTTAAACAGTTTAAACAGTGGCATATGATCAATTTTTAACTGTAATATTTGTGGTAAAAAAACTTATAACCCAGCTATATAATCTCGCATGATTAGTTTTGCAAAAGTTTGCATTGTTGTTGATTTAAGTTTTACTAGCACATTGTGTAAACAAAGTTGTTATAATAAATATTTGCGTGTGATTTTGTGTAACTGTAATGTTTCCTTTATTGATTCACCACAATACCGGATTTATAATGAAATGGCGATATGACTTCCAAGTCAGATTATAGGTACTACACTTCCTTTTAACACGGACTTTGATTAAATTTCTTTTTTCAAAAACTCCTTCATATTTTACTAATTGAGATTTTTGGTGACCATAGTCCAAAGGCATTCTGAGGAAACGCCTTGTGACGATCCCAATAATATTTGATCTCAAAAATAACATATTCCCAGCGATAAAACTAATAATATTCTAGTCACTATTTTCAATCAATAGAATCAGTATTTCCCATTCGATTTGATGTAGATGTCTTCAAAAACTCATTAATAATTCATGAAGCAATTATCCAATCTTGAGTAAGAAATTAGTCACGTGCATACGTCTTTATACCAGCTAAAGAACACTTTAACAAAAGACCATTGTTATGCAAACTATATAAAGATTTTTATATAAAGATTTTTATATAAAAATTTTTATATAAAGATTTTTATATTTAGATTTGACTTATTATGCAAACGTTTTTGAAGCCATTTAAAAAACTCGCAGGTCGTGTTTTATTAGGTCTAAAGCTAATCGCGCTGCGCGCTCGTGGCTTTACAGGTAAACTACGTGAAGCGTTCCTCTTTTGAGTTTCTAAATTGATTGCAATTTTCTTCATTACCTTTGCAATTTAAAAAACTCCCTTGCAAATCCCTTGAGGGAATTTGCAATGTTGCTAAAAGCCAATTAAATTTTCCTCAGTTCCTGTTAGAAGTTCTTAACTTCCTGTTACAAGTTCCTAACTTCCTGTTCTGTTCTGTTCTGCGCGTTGCAATTGGCTAACAAAAATAATTGACCAATAACAACGCTCAGAACAGACAGGAAGTTAGGAAATTAAAACAGGAAGTTAGGAAAATTTAAAATGAAGTTTTGTTGCATTGGAACATTGCAACAGCCGATAGCCGACATTGCAAATTCCCTCGAAGGATTTGCAAAGAGTTTTTCAAATTTGCAAAACTAATGAGGAAAATTCCAAATGAGTTACGAAGTCAAAAGAGGAACGCTTCACGTAGTTTACCTGTAAACCTAATAAAACACTCCTGCTCGTTTTTTAAATAGTACATAACATATTTTCATTTTAACATTTTATTCTGGCATTCTAGTAAATTTTTTGTACCATCAATAAACTGGTACCGGTCAAGGTAATGCATGAAATAGCGTTAATTTGAATTAAATACAGTACTGTACAATGGAGTTTTGTGCTTTGTATGGGCATGCACTAAATCACGATAAATGCAACTTGATATAACTTGAAATAATTTTAAAAGCCATGCATATTTTCAAAATAATAGACAGATTTAGATCGCGGACGTCAAAGACGACGTTAAAATGGCGTGTTGTGCCCATATATGGTTATGCCACGCCATTTTCACGTCGTCTTTGACGTCCGCGTCCTCGATCTAAATATGCCTATTGTAGCTTCTGGGCGGCAACTTGTCAAAAGCGGTTGCAAACTTGCAATTTGCTCCGAGAAATTTCAATTTGCACATTAACATTGCAATCTTGTGACTAAAATAAGCGATGACGTTTTAAACTCTCTACCCAGAGTGCTATACTTCACATATTGGTCCAGCTTTATCAGGAAGTGACCTAAACTTAATTTGATACTGGGGATATTTTTTAGACTGTTCTCTTTAGAGGTTCAGAAAGGACGTCCCTCATTGGTCAAATTCAGAAAGGACGTCTCTCATTGGTCAAATTCAGAAAGGACATCTTTCATTGGTCAAATTCAGAAAGGACATCTTGCGTTGGCCAAATTGCCAAATTCAGAAAGGACATCTCTCGTTGGTCAAATTCAGAACGGACGTCTCTCATTGGTCAAATTCAGAACGACGTCTCTCATTGGATGAAAGAAAACTGGAGTGCTACAATATACTTCAAACACTCATTAATAATTCATAAGCTTATTGGCAAATCATGTCAACCATAATATGTCACGTGCAGTGGCTTTAAACCTGATAAAACACTCCTAATTAGTATTCTTTATATAAAGAATGCTAATAAGGCAGTATCTATTGTAGTCGTGCCTTCATTAGTATTCTTTATATAAAGAATACTAACAAGGCAGTATATATCTATTGAATTTGTAGTCGTGTTTGAAGGCGTTTAATAAATTCGCAGGTCGCGTGTTTTATTAGGTCTAAAGCCACTCGCGCTACGCGCTCGTGGCTTTAAACCTAATAAAACACTCCTGCTCGTTTATTAAACAGTACTTTATTACACAACATTCTATGGTGAAGACTTACCACTTGAGAAACAGCAGCAAAATATTCATTAGATTTGGACAAAGGCGAGTTGGTGGATGAATTTAGAGACATCAACGACAAAGGTGATGCCACTGAATCGGTCATACTTGGACTGTCAAATACGTCGCTTTCACAGGAAGAATTCTGGTTATAAGATGGTGAATGACCAACTATGGGTGATGGCAAACAGTCGTCGCACTATACAGAAAAAATAGAAATATATTCTCATAGTCATGTTTCCGAAAAGTGAGCAAATCAGGAAACTTTGTTTACTAGCCATGTTTCCCATGTTTGGGAAAATCAGGAAACTTTGTTTACTAGCAATGTTTCCCAAAGATGGAAAAATCAGGAAACACTGTTTCCTAGCCATGTTTCCCAAAGATGGAAAAATCAGGAAACACTGTTTCCTAGCCATGTTTCCCAAAGGTGGAAAAATCAGGAAACACTGTTTCGTAGCCATGTTTCCCAAAGATGGAAAAATCAGGAAACACTGTTTCCTAGCCATGTTTCCCAAAGATGGAAAAATTTGGCGGAAAAATCAGGAAACACTGCATGTTTCCTAGCCCTGTTTCCCAAAGGTGGGCAAATCAGGAAACACTGTTTCCTAGCCCTGTTTCCCAAAGATAGAAAAATCAGGAAACACTGTTTCCTAGCCATGTTTCCCAAAGATAGAAAAATCAGGAAACACTGTTTCCTAGCCATGTTTCCCAAAGATGGAAAAATCAGGAAACACTGTTTCCTAGCCATGTTTCCCAAAGATGGAAAAATCAGGAAACACTGTTTACTATACCCATGTACTTTCTCAAAGATGGCAAAATCATTCAGCTTTTCCAAAGGTGTAACCAAACATTAGAGTAATGTATAAAAAGGTTCACTGTAGATAGTGCCAATAAGCTTCGGGTTGATAGGGATGGAACTACCTGAAAAATTCAAGGAGAACTTCGACGTTTCGAGCGAAGGCCTTTCGTCGGAAAGTTAGAAGCTAGTCAGTATAGAATGCTTGTGATGTTACTCTGAGTGTACATCCACAACGGATAGGCTTGAAAGATATGCCTGGTCACGGTGGGAATCGAACCTACGACCTTTGGAATACTAGCCCAATGCTCTGCCAACTGAGCTACACTCAGAGTGACATCACAAGCGTCTTATTCACCTGAGTACATTACATCTAGACGAAGGGCTTTCGCTCGAAACGTCGAAGTTCTCCTTGTATTTTCAGGTAGTTCTATCGCTAGCAATCCATATCTTTCTTATACTTACTGTAATTTCTTGTAATTCTTGCTGCAGAGAGTTACCAGCCGTGCTAAACGTCCCAGGTGGCCGTAGCGGTTCGCGTCTCTCTGTAGAGGAGAACGTCGAGGCATTACGGACCATCAAACGATTTAGATCTTCTCGTACTTGAAACAGCTCTGCCTCCATCTTGTTTCGCTCCATTTGTAAAGCCTGGAATAGAAATATTTGCCCGTGAATAACTAATAAGGTCATACCAAGATGGCAGAAGAAGAAGTTCCTATAAAAAAGTTCAAATAAAGAGTCTTCAAATAAAGTGTTTCATTCATACCTCTTTTTGCGCAGCCAAATCAGATATAACACTTGTTAAGTATTCTTGCGTTCCCGTCGATTCCTTCAAAAATACAATAAATTTTAAAGCACCTCCAGTTTTTTTGTTATCTTTCAAATGGTCAATAGTTCTAGCAACAACCAGATGGTCATGCATGAACACGCTGATTTTTGGTATATATGAGCCTGCTCATGAGCAGGCTGGATTTTGGTATTAGTTGTCAAATAGAGCACAGTACTCAGGTTAAGTTCGTGAGAACTAACTATGCAGTTCATCGTGAATTTATAATAGTATTCCATTACCCTACCTTATCAATTTCATCTTTAACACCTTGCAATTCTTCAAGTTGTATCAATCTTTGCTAAATAGAGATATGAAGGTTTTCAAAGCTCATTCATTTAATAACACATTTAGAATTAACATAATACGATTCATGACTTTGCCAAGTAATATAAAGTTTTGATTCTTTTGGTTGACTTAGGGTGTGCTTAAAGAACATTGGCAGAAGAAAAATTAGTTCATCTCATTTGAAATGATTCATAAATCATGCATTAATATATCCTTGTAAAATAATTAATATATCCTTGTCCTATTCAAGGCCTCCATCTCGGTGAATGATTGTTAATTTATCCATCCATCCTTTACTTAATTCATGCCATTGTAGTCATTTAAAGGGTTTGTATGTGTATAATTATCACTGGAAAAAAAGTGAAATTCATACCATGGAATTTGCGATTGCATCACTAAATCCATAGTAGTATATCCATACTATTTCCATACTATATTCATAATATAGAAATTGCAATGGACCTTTCCCCTTATAACTAAAATTTTGAACTAGACAAAATTCCATCATAGCATGAAAGAGCATCACAGAATTAGTAATATTCCAAAGTTTCGTTGCGAAATGTTGTAAAATGCGGATAATTATTATAGCCTTGCGAAGTTTGCCGTTTTTCAGTCATTTTGTATTACGGAAGGGAAATTGACAGCCCAATCGGGTGTTGGGGCATCAATTTCCCGTTTGTAATACAAAATGACTGAAAATTGCAAATTTCGCAGGGCTATATTATCCGCATTTTACAACATTTCGCAACGAAACTTCGGAATATTACTAATTTTGTGTTGCTCTTTCAAGCTGTGATGAAATTTTTGTCCAGATTTGTCTTGATCAAAATCTCACTTAAAAGGGGAAATTGCAATTAGTATGAAAATTTGATTTATATACTATTTTCAACGAAGATCATACTATTTCCATAGTAAAGGTTTCGAAAATAATTTCCAGTATATTATGTATACCTTTTCCTCGTTGTATGCGAGACAAACATTTTTATGATCTGTTGATAAACTTTCCAATCTTCTATGTGCAGCTGAAAGCTGGAATAAATTAGACATGAATAAATTTCACTGGAACTGACACGCATTTATGCTATTGGTAA